CTCTCTCTCTCTCTCTCTCTCTCTCTCTCTCTCTCTCTCTCACACACACACACACACACACACACACACACACACACACACACACACATATACACACACACACACACACACACACACACACTCACACACACGTACACACACACACACATTTCATCGATAGAATGAGCAAAAACAAAATGAATCCTCCGCTGAAACGTGAAAATATAGACTGCCACTTTTTGATTTGCTTATTCAATCGATCCGAGTAGCGAGCGGCGAGGGGAGGGGTTGGAGAGTTAGCTGTCGGTCGAGGTTGGAGACTTATCGGCCCCCTCTCTCTCTGTCTGTGTCTCTCTCTTTCGCTCTCTCTCACACACACACACACACACACACGCACACCTATTCCATTGATAGGATGAGTAGAAACGGAATGAATCTTCCGCTGAAACGGTGAAATATACACTGCCACTTTTTTAGCAAAATCGGAACAAAATGATAGAGCAACATACGGGAAAAATCTCTTTTTCCCTTGAGCCATCTCTCTCAAACTCCCTTTCAATATATGGCGTCGCTTTTTCTTATTTTGACACATGTCTCTGAACCTCCCTTCGAGATATTGTACCCCTGTGTCTTGCCCCTGTTCCGTGAATGTTGTTCTTCCGCCTTCCTTCGCTGCAGCATCGCCACCAAAGTGGGGTGGCGTCGTGCGATGTGTGAGGTTGCAAAGGGGCTTGGCGCAGCGGCGGTGCGGCGGTGATGAAAGTGTATCTATGGTGCACTGAAGTGATACGCTCGTGTTGGTATTGCGGGCGGGGCGTCCTCGGTGAAGATTACGGTTATAGTCGTTGTTGATGAGTTTGAGAAGGAATGTTTTTGCGTGGCGGAAACGGAATCCGATGTTGATGTCGGGGGAGGGGTCAGGCCGCTGTAGAGGTTGCATTTGGTTGTGTTTGTAGAGGGCGAAAAAGTCATAAAGGTGGGGTGAGAAGGCAGCGTGGTCAGTCGTGACGAAGTGTTCCCACAGTATTTGTGTGATGATATGTTCAATGTTGTCTTTGGTTAGCAATCGCAGCCATTCATCCCATCTGACGTACGGGGTAGGGGCGGCGGTGAGCGCAAAAGTAGAAGTAGCAGGATGGACAATTGTGGAAATGGCGAGAGGAGCGGATTGTGGATGTGTTGAAGATAGGCTGCGATAGGAGGAGGAAGGAGATGGGAGCGGGATGTGGGCGAGAATGTCGTCGTCAAAAGGAATTTGGGATAAAGTCGACGCAGCGAGAAGAGTTGCAGTCGCCGTTGCAGCCATTGTGGTAGAATCGAAAGATGAAGTCGCAGCCATCGTGGTAGATTTGAGAGATGAAGTAGTCGATGCAGCGAGAAGAGGTGTACTTGTTGTTGCAGGCAGCGTTGCAGATTCGAGAGATGAAATTGTTGATGTGGTGGGAAGTGTCGATGTAGAGGGACTTGGCTTTGTAGTTGTAGTCGCAGTCGCAGACGTTGATGTTGAGGTACTCATCATTGCCGTCGTCGATGTAGTGAGAAGAGTTGCACTCGTTGTTGCAGGCAGTGTTGCAGATTCGAGAGATGAAATCGTCGACGTGGCGGCAAGCGATGATGTTGAGGCACTTGTCTTTGTAGTCGATGTTGCAGTCGTAGTCGCTGATGGTGAGGCACTTGTCTTCGTAGTTGTAGCAGAAGAGGTTGCGGCGGCAGTTGACGGCGTCGCGATTGTTGTGTTTGTAGTCGTTATTGCAAGCATTGGTGTTGATATCGAAGACGAACTTGTTGAGGACGACAATTTGGACGATGCTTTCGGTTTCTTGTGCGGCGGCTTGTCTTCATGGGCATCTGCAAGCCAGGCAGGAGCAAATGGAAAGCGAGGAGAGCAGGGGGAAGGCGAGGAGTAGAGAAAAAACAGAAGCGGGGCAAACCGGTTAAAGACGGTGTCGAGATTGCGCATTTCTGTCGGTTTCTTTTTCCCCCATTCCTGAGATGTAGTTTGAAAAAGATGGAGGGCGCGGTTTGGTATTGTTGATGGAGGCAGTAATGTGTGTTCTCGTTGTCTTTGGTGCCGATGAACGGGCGGTGTATGTGTGTGGGAAACGGGGAATGTTGTGTATGTCAAGTGTTTGGGAAGGACGTTCAATTAAGGATTTCTTTGTACACAATGTCGGTTGTGAGGTCAAGCGGGGAAGGTAGAGCAAAGCGTTCATGGGCAGGGTCACCTACTCTGGATGCTGCGACATAAAGCTGGCCATGTGCAAATGCAGGCTGGTGAAGATCAATGCCAGCATGTTTGATAGATTGGTCTTGGGACTTGTTGATAGTGATCGCGAAGGCCGGAGGAATGGGGAACTGGCGTCTTTGCCACGGGAAAGGGGACGTGATGTCGGTGACCGAGAGCAAGATGCGCGGGAGGAGGACCGGCCAAAGGGATGGCAGGATGCGACCGTGAAGAAGTCTATCATTTGTGACAGAGTCAACAATTAGCCGTGTTCTGTTGCAAAGGCCGTTTCTCATTGCGATATTTCGCAGGAGAATGATGGGGGCATATTTTTTTAAGTGCAGAATATGCGGGGGCAGGGAAGGAAGATCCAATGTATTCAAAGTGTCGATTGGAATATCGGGGAAATCTTCGTTCGGGAGTAGTGAGTCAGCACTGAGGGAGGTGATGACAGGGCCAGGAAACGAATCGAGAATGATGTTGTTAAGGGTTGAGACTGATTTGTTTTTGGGCGAGAGGATTAAACGTTCTGCGAGCCATTGGGGGTTTTCAAAATTATGTTGGAGGTCGGGGAATGTCCAATTGATAAGTTCCGATGTTCCGCCATGGAGACAAAGATGAGCAGGGAGGAGAATGGTATTGGGAGGGGTATCATGTGCATGTTCGATTTCGCCATTCCCGAGTGCAAGGAGCGATTTAGCGTGGTCTCGTCCGGCAGCAGTGTCAATTTGTGTGAGGACACACATGTTTTCAGATTGATGCATTATGTGGAAGTGTCGCCACAAAGCGGAACACGCGTCAATTGTTTGTGCACGTGTACCTTTGGTGACAACGGGGAGTATTTGCCGGAAATCGCCACCTAAGACCACGACTTTGTCGCCGAAGGGAAGGGGAGATGAACAAAGGTCTTGTAGGGTTCTGTCTAATACTTCAATTTGGAATTTGTGCGTCATGGGCGCCTCGTCCCAGAGGATAATAACAGCCATGCGTATAACGTGTGCAAGTGCAGATTGTTTGGGAATGTCCAAGGTGGAGGTGGCGGTGGGGTTAAGGGCAACTTTGAATAGAGAAAGGAAAGTGCGGCCTCCGTCCAACAGAGTAGCTGCGATGCCGCTTGAAGCAACGGCGAGTGCAACTTGGTCATGGAGGCGAATGTGTGCGAGTATTGTGTTGAAGCAGAAGGTTTTACCTGTGCCGGCGGGTGCGTCGACGAAAACGCAGAGCGGTTCGCTGTTTTCAGCAGCATGGATGACGCGTTGGAAGACTGCGAGGGAGTGAGGTGATAGGAGTAATTGGAGGTAGAAGGTGTCTCCTCCGTTCGGGTGGATAGTGTGTATGCGACCAATGGTGTTTGCACTGCGGCTGCGGACGATCCAGCACTTTGTGGGTTTGTCGAAGCGAAAACGTCAGATCATGTCCTTGTACAGGGTTTTTGTGTTTCAGGATCGTCCAGATGCACGTCATTCCATTTGAACCATGCCGTCAGCTCCGTTTCGGGTGTCGGGGCGTGTGCGATGCGCTGAGCTTGGTGGTGGTGAAAATACACGTGCTGGCGGTTTTCAGTATGGACAGGGAGGGGCGAAACAGGAGGGTATCGCTCGGCCATAGGAAAATCGAAAATTCGCCAGCATGACTCGGCAACGCCGACTGTTCTCATGTCCTGGTAGGCTTGGATTTCATCTTTTGTGTTTATTGCCTCGACCACCATTACTCAGTCCGTCCCTTTGAGAATATACTCGAACATATACCGGCACGCGGCAGTCGATGCACAAATTTCAACGTTGAAGTGTGTGCGATACCGGAGGAGCAAGTAAGGGTTGTAAGGGACAACCCAAGAATTGTCAAGGTCGGTGTCACCACGAGCGATGACCAAGCCACCGTCAGCAGGTGTACGCCGTTTGTAAATCGGGTAACTGGTATCTTCGTTCCACGTTGTGCGGTCGGAGAAATCTTTAGGGAAAAACCGTGTGCAGCGGTCGTTATGCATGCAGGGAGCATGGATATTGTGTATGCCACACGGATTGTGGATCATGTGAGTGAGCACGAGTTCTTGCAGAGCTGGATTAGTGGGAAGCTCAGCGCAGACTACAGCGTCGATTTGCTCAGGGGCGACAGTTTTGTGGTCATCTTTTAAAGTGGGCATGCGGCAAACCACGTTTTTGTAACTCAATAACACATGTATACGTTGTAACAGCTCCGAATATGTGCGTGCACTGTATGTCGTGAATGAGTTGCCGCAAATAGCCTTTGAAGACACGAGCAAGAAGGTCTGGTCGGTTGGATGGGTGTTGGTTGGGGAAGAGGGCGGTTTGGATTTCGGACCAGTGTGGGTTACATGTGAAAGTCAAGAAAAGGTCTGGCGCCCCAAATTCTTGGACGGTTGCCATTGCGTCTTGGTATCGGCGGTGCATGTCGCGTGGACCTCCGATGAATGTTCCGGGAAGGACAATTCGCTGACCAACATTTTCGGCATTGTCATATTGCATAACATGATCCCGAAGATTTTGGTAGAAGTCGGCACGAATTTGTGTTTGGTGAAGGCGGTTGTACAGAAGGCAACCATTTTCAATTTTAGCAAATGCCATGGAGACGTATTCTTGGAAAAGGCGGGCCGCGTGGAAGATTGTTGTTCTTTCTGTTTGCCGTGTGTTTAAGTGGAAAGCGTAGAATTCTCGTGTTGTAGCGGACTGATTATTTGTTTCGGGATCGTCATCGGTGTCAGGCGTCCACCCGTCTTCCCCAGCAGGAAAGAGGAGCACATAATGAAGAGGGTCGAAAGCATGGTTTGTTTCGGCGATTGGGACAACACCGCTACCGCGTTTGCGGATTGTGATTTCTCGATTGGGAGGTTGATCGTGCATAAGAAGACACAACTCTTTGAGACCTTAGGTTTGTTGTAACGGCGTTCGTGTTGATCAATCGGACGCGCGTCAGGGTTAATCACAATGTGCCGGTCATGTATCATCTCGTCTGGCATTTCACAAATAGTGATGAAATCATGGACCCAACAGTTGCATGTATGGAGAAGAGCATGGAACTTTCGGAGAAGGCGTTTGATCGAACGAATCGTTGCGAGGGGGGTTTCGGTGGGAAGGTCAAGACGGTTGAGACGGAGAAGTGTAGCACCGTGTTCGTCTTGTAGATCGTAGATGTAGATTTGTGTGAACGCAGACTCATGGTCAGCGTCCGGGAGAAGGGGCCCTAAATTTTGATGAAGCCGCCCTTCGATGCGGAGCATACTTGGCCAAGCGCCCGGAGGGTATTGTGTCTCCTTCACAGATTGTGATGCAAGTGCGAGGGCGTTGTTAAATTGACGGGAGCGTGATTGTAAGAGTCGGCCGTCTGCGGTGCCAGCTTCCCACAGGTGGTAATGTCATGCTCCGGCGTTGCAGGCGGAGGGTATTGCCAAAGAGCAGGTTTTATTTTGTCGAGTCTGCAACATAGTGTTGTCTATGCGTGCTCATGCTCCCATTTATGTGCCCCACAGTGAGGACAGGCCCCTCTTTCGCCGAGGGTTGCAATAGTGATGAGAATGTGTTGGGCGATGAGTACAGCACTATAAATGCGCTCGGTATTCATGTACGGGTCAATACGTTCAATGTGGGTATGTCTGTAACGTTGTTGTCTGAGTATTTGGTGCTGGTGTGCTCGTTCGTCAGCGGCACGAGAAGATTCGGTTGTGGTATGAGCGGAGCACAAAAGAAAGATGAATTAAGAAAGAGAAAAGGAGATTAACAAAACAGGAGAAACAAAACAACCACGACAAAAAGGAGAAGTGTAAGAGAAAACACCATTCTCGTACACACA